ATTTGCCATCGTTATCAACGTATTAGAACAGAATTTGTGCCTGTATGGTTTCGCACCAACCGCACTTACAACAAATTTATCTCGCTCATGAGTTCAAGAAATGATGTAATTTTAAATCAGTTAGCGAGTTATGTTTATTTTCTCTCTATTGTTACAATTGTTAAGTGAAACTGTATTTGCTCTTTGGGCCAATGGCCTTTTGCTTTGCAATAAATATATACTACAATTATGTAAATGAGACGATTATTTCAACCAACCGTGTCATGCTATCGTCCGCCTGCACGGTGTTTGTTCCGTTCGGACATTCCTCCCTCTACAGCCCCGTGCGGTAACTCCATTCATACCGTGTATGTCACGTAGTTGCGCGATAGAAAGCGATAGTGAAGTGCTTAGCCGGAACATTCACCTTGAAAATTCAAGATGTGTCATGCAAGTCCCCCCGAGTAATACGCGCCCGTCTACTCCTTATACCTCTTCTAATTTGGATATTTCAAATAATCAGCTAGTAACTGTTACACTGGCACGCACATCGTTTATAAATGATGTACAATCACGGCCAATATTACTTGGCAGCACAATCGTTATTGAATATCACACACTACACTCTTTATCTTCTGAGTCTTTGAAAATTCATGGTTCGCTGTGCCATCCCGGTGAATCTAATTGACTTACTGAACCAACTTTTATTTCTCAACCTCCCATCCCATCCACATCCCCTTCTAAACCAGGCACACTCCATGGATCCAAGGATGTTGGCGGGGTCACGTTGTAAAATTGGACATTTGAAGACCTCGCGATGATTTCATTATCATAATGGGAGGGATTTAGCTGGTACATGTGACAGGAAATAAAAAAAGGCATTTAACATTTTTACACGAAATAAAATGAAAGTTCCATTTACAGTAAAAAGTCAGGTTTTTACACTTTACAGGTAAAACAAATTCCTAATTACATTTTTTTAATATATTTGATAATTTGTGTTTAAGAATCAAAATTGCGTACGAATTACATTTAGTGGGGATAATGGTTTATACGTTTACAAAAAAATAAGATCTTTGTACACTCAAATTACGGACGAATAAGATAACTGATTATATTTTACACCTTGCCCATGATATTGTAAATTCTTTCGTTTTGCAGAAAAATACAGTATTTTTACCATTAAGTAAAATCATATTTATAAAGGTAATGCTCATACATGAGTTGATGCCCCCCCCAAAAAAAAACGAAAGTATTTTACAATGTCGAAAACGGAAAGTCTGTATCATAGTGTTAGTGTGTTGTTGTTTTTTCATTGCAGACATCGATCGGTTTCAAATGTATCAATAAAATGAACATCGATCAAAATAGCAGAATTTTGATAAATATCTCGCACTACTGAACACGCATGGTGACGTAACTGTTTCTGGGGCCAACCATTCTGTCTGTAATCGGACACAGTCTGGATGTGCTTTTACTGTAATATGAGAGAGAAACGTGAATCTTTTACAGCCCAAAATTGAAAAAGCAGACAAAGAGGAAAACAAAATCAATGAAATATTATCGGATGGTGCAAACGAATGGTATAATCTGTATATACGCTTTGACCAGATTTTTCTCGATAATTCCTCCTTTATATTGTTTTGTCTATCAAAATATGCCAAACGAGTTCACAAAAGCTCTAATTACACTTCAGAAAATTGGCGTGTTTTGCCCAAATGTTTGAATAAAGTTTCAGCAGCGTGGCATACTTATAAGTAGAGCTGTTTAGAGAACAACCGTAACGAAACCTTGGAATATTAACCCGGTGTCCAAAGGGTAATGAGAGAAGGTTCCAGTCGTCATCGACCTTTTAACCACATCTCCTAAACCGACCGTATGAGGGCGTTCTGGCCCAATCGATAATTCTTCCCTATTGTAAGACTGATATCGCTAGACTTAACACGTGGTTGAGGGTGGGGTTGGGTTGTTTGTCACACCGTTATTCAAGTATTAAAACTATCCTTAGGGTGGACCATTAGAAACTTTGGGCGATGGCAGAAAAACTATGCCAAATATTTGTTTTCGTTAGTTTTGTAACAGTTACTAGAAACCGTGGTTTTGAGTTATTTTTTTCAATGATGGATTTCCTTTTATTTATTTTCTGTGTGTGGTGTATTTGTTTTTTTATGAATGTTTTTCTGTTATTGATCCACCCCCTAAACTATTAATTTGTGTCACAGGGTAGCTTAAAGCGCGGTGGTCGTCGCGCAGCGCGTGTTCGAATGTTACGTGAATAAACATTACATTATACACGCGTTGTATACGTCGCTACGAGTCCCATGTCAAGCAGGACGCGGCACATTGCATCTAATTTAATAAGAGAAAACATAACTTGTTATATACCCACATGTTCATAGGCAATTAGAAATAATTTGTTTTAATAAAACCTTCCAGCCGAAAACTTTTCAGTAAAGTACACTTCCAGAATTGTTTAGTTAACAATATCATAAAAAATGGGGGGGGGGGGGGCTACCACCGGTAAGCTATAAGAGGCGAGACCATTCAGAGCACAATAACTCTCTGGCCTGTGTGGACCAAAGAGACTAGAGAAGAACAAAACAAAAAATCTATGTTACCCGTAACTCGAAGTTCGGTTAACTGTTAATTGAACATCGAGTTGCAATTTAGGGGTGGTTTTCCAAATGAGCAATCAACATGTAAATAGGCTTCAGTCTAAACTTGTTGGCAGACCTAGTACACATAGAAAATGGACTCCTGGATACCAGGCAGTGAAAAGCCAAACACAATGACCACATATGATAGATTTTTTTGGCCGTCTTCAAGTCAGACCAATGGACTTCACTGAGGGGTACCACAAGCCACTTTCCCCATCTGGACGGTAGAGGGCACTGTAGGTACATCACGACATTTTTTCATAGAATAAGTAAAAGTAGTATAAAATCTTAGTCTCCCTTATTCATTTTAAAATGACAAAATTTACAATCAGTTTTTGTAACATTTTTATTAGCAGGAAACTAATTAGTAGTAAAAATGTCAATAATTCTAAATTTTCATCAAAACAAAACATGATTCTATTTAATATGCATGAGAAATATTATTATGAAATGTACATGTATCAAAGACACTACTGTAGAACTACCTATATTAGCTACATCATCTAGTTACATTTAATTTACATTAATAACCAATTGTTTTCAATAAACTGATTACAAATACAGTACCTGTACTGATTATTGGTACAAATTGTTCTTTTCAAGTCTTGTTACATCAATAACCCCCTATATTACTAATTGTAACATACACAGGTGATATAGGCACTAGCTACATCGTGACAGCGCATGGGTAGGTTTGAAATGGACATGCAGAGTTTTCATGCGAGAACAGACTATTGAAACTGCATTATATTTACAAACAAGTCTGTCACTCCTTTTTTTTTAAATGTAGTTCCCAACACAAAAATAAAAATTTATAGCATCTCTGTGCAAAAATAGGGGTTGATTTCTAGCTCACTCAAATTGTTTGCTGGTTTTCCTGGCTTCCGTCGTATCGATGAGCTATTGAATGTTCACATGGCACAATCACACCCCACCACATAGACAAAGCAGAGCAGAGCCTTTTCACAATAGAGTGCACTTTTCTATAGTATCATGTGTATCATTTTACTTTTCAAGATGTGACCTTGCCCCCCCCCCAATATGACTTTGTATATAGAAATAAGCAGTTTATGTATTCACAAAGTATCAGTGATTTATCATGAACTGCCTGAATAACCCACAAGATTATACAGTTCTGATATCATTACTAACTAATAACAATACTATTAAACCAAATTACTGAGTCTCTTGAAATTGTCAACACACTTCAATCATTATGCATAGACAGATTCCAAATCTCCTGGCAGTGTTGGCAGAGTTGGCAGTGTTGGTAGAGTTGGCAGTAGAGAGTGCTGTAGGGACATCTGCAATTAAATCCAATTACGAATAAAAGTTGACCTAATATGAATTCCTCCTAGCTAGCATCAAATTAGAATTAACTCTTTTTAACGAATGGTGTATAGTAATAAAAGTAGAAGCACATAAATGTAACAAGCCATGCATGGCACAGTCCCCGTTAGTTATCAAATTTAAGATATATAGTTTTGTTTATAGTAATATAGCTGGAATATAACCATGTCAGGAATATGATTTTTTTAACATTAAAATGATTAACATTTGTATTTGATCGTCAAAAAAGGACTTGTCCGTATTGAGAGATATTGCTTTGGAACAGCATTCAGAATACATGTATATATATAACATGATGTATAACGAATATATAAAATTGGAATATAATCAGTGAAAGCATTTAAGAGATATGGCTCTAGAAGCCCAATCATTAAAACAAAATGGCCACCAGACAGCCATTTTGAATCCGATCTGAAAAATAAATGATGTGCATCAGGAACCTGTAATGTCTAACATATGTACCAAGTTTGAACGAAATCCATCCATAAATGCTTGATATTTGATGATTTTTTAACCACCATTTGGCCATTTTGAATAGGATCGTCAAACCAATATATCTGTCTATCTATGACATGATGTATAATGAATATTTAAAATTTGAACATAATCAGTGAAAGCAAGTCAGAGATATGGCACGAGAACCACATTCATTAAAACATAATAGCTGCCAGTCGGCCATTTTGAATCTTATCTAAAAAACAAAATTATTTGCATCAAGGTCCCATAATGTCTAATGTATATACCAAGTTTGAACAAAATCCATCTGTAAACAGCCGAGAAATGCTTGATTTTGATGATTTTTTAGCACAAAAATGGCCGCCATTCGGCCATCTTGAATCAGATTGTAAAACAAAATAATGTGCATCAAGGTCCTATAATGTCTAATGTATATACCAAGTTTGAACAAAATCCATCTGTTAACAGCTGAGAAATGCTTGATTTTGATGATTTTTAGCACAAAATGGCCACCATTCGGCCATCTTGAATCAGATCGTGAAACAAATTGACGTGCATATGTATACTATCGTGTATGATGTATGTGTGAAGTTTGATTGTGATTGGTCCAGGCATTTCTAAGATACAGGTACGGACGGACGGACGCACGCACGGACACACGAAGGTCAAAACATACATAAGTCCCCGTTTTCGGACTGCGTCCGAATGGGGACTAATAAACAAAGACTTGTCAAAGGACTTAGTATCTATGCAGTGTATCTACGCAGTGAAACATATCTAAAAAAACTACTATTGGTAAATGAAATGTATGGAAAAGTAACAAGTCAAACAATAATTTGCATTTGGTATTCGGTGTATAAAATCATGCAGTGACTAACATGGGCAGAATTAAATAATTATCACTAATTGCACTGAGATAACATTTGCATGCTCGACACACAGGATATAAAACATTTAAAAAATAGCTAAATACATATTTTTTTTATAAAGCAGCTGTTCTCCCTGGGAGCCCCCCCCCCAAAAAAAAACTATATACACTAAACAACCAAAAATTGTATTAACTAAGTTAAACATAAGCACAACTATAAAACACCATACACCTTTATGAATATTAGAGGTAAAAAAAACTATATAAATACACCAAAAACATTAGTGTACCAAAAGCAAACTGTTAAAAGAATTCACCAATGACGTAGATTGTTCAAATAAATGTATAGCTAAGGTAGCAATTCGTAGAAAATGTGATTGTCAGAATGACTTGGTATTAATACATGGACACCCATAGCACCACCAATAACATACTAAGTAACATTTGCGTAGTATCTTATCAGATCAGGTTTTCCTTGTCCAAAGGTGATCCAAAGTCAATAAGTGGCTTGGTTAATGAAACCTGCAAAGATAAGAATTGATATAAGAGTAAAGCAATCAGTCAGTCTGTTCCAATTTATTAGGATGTATTTTTTGATGTGTACACTCGGATCGTTGATGTTTTTTCAATCAACAATCTGATAGTGATATAGGTGCATGATCCAGAAAACCTGTTAAGATCCGGATTCATTCTAGAATTGTATCAAGCCAATTTTTGGAACAGTTAGAATTGTATCAATGTAATGAATTGCTATGCGTGCAAGCAAATGGTTTGTAGACAACACCCCTCGGGACTCCCATTTATTTTAATAAAGCCAGCATGTATGAACACAAGGGATTTAATAATCTGTGAGGTAACATGCCAGACAACTAATTTTACAGCATGTAGTCTGAACACAGCACAAGAGCATATTTCTTCAGAGAGTCTGATGATTGTGTATGCTCTATTAGTAGCACATGCACCTATGTAAATGACAGGGATGTGTCCACGGTCCAAAAAAAAAAACTAGAGAACACACAGACATGCAACTGAGGTCTTCTCTTTGATGTAACATTCATTGGGATTTAAATTTTTTTTTTTGATGAATTACCAAAGAAAAACATGCCAACTCTTAAACATTAACAGTAGGACATACCAGTAGTATAGTAAAATTTAAACAAATTTTATACATCCTAGTTTTAGAAATTGGTTACAAACAGATTGAAGTTAACAGGACAATTTGTGTGTGATTCAAAAGTAAAGGAAAATACAATATCTTTATTCATTTATTATCTACCAAAC